TCTGTTATCTGTTATCTCCTCTTCCAGATTGGGAAGGGAAGGTCTGCCTTGTCGATTTGTAGGTTTTTAGTGGGGCTTAGGAAAAATCAAATGATGGATGGAATTGTCTCAAAAGGAAAGAATGATAGTTTGTTCTGAGCTTGGCAGGACTATACAACAATCCAACATTTGCCCCCCCCCCAAAAAAATGTCAAAGCAAATTACAACAGGGAAACATACTATGTGAATAAGAAACTAACACAGATGATTAGGGGACTGGAGGCTAAAACATGTGAAGAATGGTTGCTGGAATTGGGTATGTCTAGTTTAATGAAAAGAAGAACTAGGGGAGATATGACAGCAGTGTTCCAATATCTCAGGGGCTGCCCCAAAGAAGAGGGAGTCAAGCTATTCTCCAAAGCACCTGAAGGCAGAACAAGAAGCAATGGATGGAAACTAATCAAGGAAAGAAGCAATCTGGAATTAAGGAGAAATTTCCTGACAGTTAGAACAAAGAATCAGTGGAACAACTTGGCTCCAGAAGTTGTGAATGCTCCAACACTGGACGTTTTAAAGAAGAGATTGGATAACCATTTGTCTGAAATGGTATAAGGTTTCCTGCCTAAGCAGGGGTTGGACTAGAAGACCTCCAAGGTCCTTTCCAACTCTGTTATTCCTATTCTATTCTATTCTATTCTATTCTATTCTATTCTATTCTATTCTATTCTATTCCATTCTATTCCATTCCACTCCACTCCACTCCACTCCACTCCACTCCACTCCACTCCACTCCTTCCATTCCATTCCATTCCATTCCATTCCATTCCATTCTATTCTATTCTATTCTATTCTATTCTATTCTATTCTATTCTATTCTATTCTATTCTATTCTATTCACCATAAGCTTCCTTCAAATGATACGGATGCTGTAGACCTATGCAAAGCCATTATGATGAAAAGCTTTTCCTGCCACAGGCCTTGAGTTTTAATTCTCCACCTGAATCCCATATGTCATTAACAGTCACTGAGCACAACCAGAAAATAAGATTGATTTAGCCCTGTTTTTCATAGCTACTTCAACTGTAGCCATATCTCTTTGAGAGAGATTCTTGTATTCCCATTCTGTGTGGGAATGTGGTGTGCGATGACCAAAGAGTCGATTAAAATCACTGGCATTTTAACTATCACAAGAGAAGCTTATCTCCAAAGCTGAATTAACAAGCCCCTTTTCAAATGGATACCAGGCACTGACTCATTACTGTAAGGGGAAAAAAATGTGCATAGCTGAAGTTGACCCCAGTCAAAGATATGATCAAAAATTATTACTGGAAGGTATCGTTTCTTCCTTAACACATGAAGGAAACAAGGATGAACACACCACTGCTCCAACCTTAGGATAGGGAGTCTGCAAACTTGGCAACTTTTAAGACTTGTGGACTTCAACTCCCAGAATTCCCTAGCCAGCAGGGGGAATTCTGGGAGTTGAAGTCCCCAAGTCTGAGGCTGGATACTCCTGGCCTAGGGAAAGCAGTAGAACACTGTAGAGAAGCTACACCTCGTTCTTGAATGTTGGATGCAAAAAAACCCCTCACATTTAAAACACTGTGTTGTTTCAAAATATACACGTACTTAAATGTAAATACGAGTAAGTTCTAGCTGATCCCTATTTCAAATGTTCCAACTCTCCAGAGCAACCTTCAAAACCATTTCAATCTGCTACATTTTTTGGGGGCCGGGTGGGGGGGGAGAAGAGATATCAATTAAATTTCAGAAGTCTAGGAACGCCATCTAGTGGAGATACAGGCCCTGGGTTGTCTATGGAGCGCCATCTAGTGGAGATACAGGCCCTGTGGTTGTCTATCCATATCCTGGTTGTCCCAAAGGTGCTTTTATTTTAAAGGCAACTGGATGTTCTGATTTAAGACATTTCGCTTCTCCTCCAAGAAGCTTCTTCAGTTCCGACCACTAGAACTGAAGAAGCTCCTTGGGTGAGAAGTGAAACGTCTTAAAGCAAAACCATTCTTGCCTTTAAAATAAAAGCACCTTTGGGACAGGCCCCTAGGTTGCTCATTCCTTTTAGGAATTATTACCAAGGAATTAGGAATGCTAATTCCTTATCGACCGATAAGGAGAAGTTTGGCGGAAAAAAAATTTAAGTTTATCATCCCTGGGCTACTGGTGTGTGATGGGAATCTCTATTAATATACTTCAACTTGCTATTTCCATCATCCAAAACTAGGCAACCAGGAAGCAGAAATTTTGAATGATTTCCGGGCAATGAAACCACCAGCCTTGCTCTCCTTCCAGCGTCAACCAAAGTTGACTAAGACTGTGCCTTGTGTATGTTCTCCTAATCTGGCTGCTTGGCCACTTCAGTGAATGTCTCAAGCACCCCAAAGGGTGACTACTTCCACTGCTTCAGATATCAGTCTTGGCTACCATCATTTTAGAAGCTTGCTCTGGACGTTTGTCTAAACCAGTGATGGCTAACCTATGACACGCGTGTCACTCGTGACACGCCGAGGCACTTTGACAGACACGCCTGTTGGTGTGGGGAAAACCTGCACATTTAGAGGCTACCTGTGCTCTGCTCCAATCCCTGCTCCCTGCTTGTTGCGTGGAGGCGTGGTGTCACCGCTGCCGCGAGATCTTTGCAGCAGAGAACCAGTTTTAACTGCCATAAAGTGAGGTTTGTCAGTTTCATTACCTCAGGAACGCTACAGGAGGAAAGGAGATCCATGAGGTTCACAGCCCTGTAAGGTGGCCTTCCGATCCCCACATCCTGCACCTGCAGCCCTGAGACCAGGGAGACGAGTTTCACAGCCCTGTGTGATCACGCCAGCCCAGTCCGTCATAAACCAAATTATTGATATTTCTTGAAGTGACACACGACCCGAGGAAGGCTACACTTTTTCCCGATTTTCGACACACCAAGCTGAAAAGGTTAGCCATCACTGGTCTAAACCTATCCCTTCCATGATCAGAAACCTATTCTCCAACACTTGGGATTTGCCCAGGACAAGCCCTGCCTGGATTGACCGTGGCCTATGTCAAGATGGAAATGCATGAAATAATGCAAACAGTGGAAGATTTCTGCTCCAGCTAATGCCTGGATGGTGATCGTTTCAAGACTACTGGGGTCATCTCCACAGCATTTCCAGCTTCCTGAGTTCTCCTCCTGCTTCCTTCTCATAGGTTGAAAATTAACCCAAGAACTTTCTGGTTCTTAGCTTTGCCTGCCTGCCCCAGGCTGGGACAGCGACATGGGACGTTAAATTAATTCCAGAATGAAGACGGATGAAGGTCCAGTGTGAAGAATGTTGTCCTGGGGCAGCTGTGATGGCAAAGACCCCAATGAAGGGGGGAAAAAATATCAACGTTATGGAGAGAGACAGTTCGTATTTACAAAACTGGGACAATGATGGGATGAACGGTGGCACCCTGCCCTCTTTGTCTGTCTCGGCTTGCCTCAAAGGAAGACCTTTGATCGGTCAAGATGAAAGCCACGGATGCCTCTCAGGAGGAGGAAATAAATTTAGACAGCCTCGTGACTCCAACCTCGTGGAACGGCTCCTTTCAATCCAGCTGCAGTGATTTGTTAGTCCTTGAGTCTTCTTCCAGGCTCCTGAAATATAGAAGAAACCAGGTGAAGGTGAGCTACCTTTTGCATTATAAAGGGTTGATTTGTGGGATCTGGTGTGTGAGCCCCTCAACCAAGAGGCTGTGGGAAAAATTCACTCAACATTTATTTATTTTTATTTTTTTGGGAAGGGATAGAGTGGCACGGTGGCCTGGAGGTGGAACTCTCGCCTCACAATCAGAAGGCTGTGAGTTCGATCCTAGATAGAGGCAGATATTTCTCTCTCTGGGAACTCTGAGAATATTTATCTGCTAAACAAAATTCAGCATTGGTGACAGGAAGGGCATCCGGCCATGAAAACACTCTGCAAACTGCATTTAGTTGCCCAGACTCCAACCTGCAAGGGATTATGGGTTGGTTAAATGGAAACGTTGATTTTTTTTATTTATTTGTTGGTAATTGGATCCGTGGATTGACATGCAGTTCTCCTTCACAAGTTCCAGGCTCCTGAATTCAGCAGTGCAGCTCCTATTATTGATATATTGATAGCCTCCATTTATTTCATCCATTTGGCTATTTATTCTTAAGGGGAAAAAAAAAACTCTACGTAATCAAACTAGAGTTGGAAGGCACCTTGGAGGTCTTCTAATTCAGCCCTCCCCTCAAGGAGGAGATCCTATACCACTTCAGACAAGTGGCTGATTAAAGATAAATATGAATATATCATAATATGGTATTAATATTTCCCTTAATACATTAAGGAAAAGAGCATATTAAAAATGTGGATTTTTAAAAAAGAAAAGCGAAAAGTAACATTCAGAACAAGGAAAATGGTTGCATCAACTGGAGAGGTGACAGGAAATGGAATTTGTAAGTAAATGTTACCAAAAAAAAAAAAAAAGGAATAGTGTGAATTTTGAGGTTACAAACTGCCCAGGATCATTTAGGTAAGATGGGCAGCATAGAACACAAACAACCAAATAAATGTTTTGTTCAATATGTAACATTTATTTTTTTTAAAAAAAAAATCAATTCAGATGCATTATGTTCCCGTGTTCTTAAGTCTTCTGCATCACACATGATGTTTTATACCTCATATCTTTTAAGAACAATGGTGGCACAGTGGTTAGAATGCGGTATTGCAAGCTAACTCTGCCGACTGCCAGGAGCTCGATCCTGACCGGCTCAAGGTTGACTCAGCCTTCCATCCTTGGTAAAATGAGATCATTGGGGGCAATATGCTGACTCTGTAAACCCCTTACAGAGACCTGTAAAGCCACGTGAAGCGGTATATAAGTGCTATTGCTAACTGCTATCTGGGTTTATTTATTTTATTATTATTTTTTACTAGATGGAATATCCTGAGCTATTTTCTCCTCTATCATGAATAGAGCTTTGTCTCACCTTTGTTGCAAACGGCACTCTGGTGCAAATTCACCTCCTACTCCTCTACTGGTATAGCACAGTTTTCTTTATTTTCTGATGGAATGGCGAGGTAGTTGGTGCTAGGGAACAAAAAGGGTGTTATTTGCAAAAGAACCCTAAATACTCAAGTGCACAATTTAAGAACCCCCCCACGGATTGAGTCCAGCTAGGTGGCATCATCTAGGTCAGGGTTTTTCCAACCTTGCCCATTTCCCAACCATGTGGACTTCATCTCCCAGAATCCCACAGCCAACAATAGCCATTGCTGAGAATGCTGGGAGTTGAAATCCACTCAATTAACCAAGGTTGGAAAACTAGGATCTTGAAGAACTTGGTTTCAAAGAGCTAAGCAAGGTCAGAGATGGACAGGAGACCATCAAAATGTACCCAGACTATTAGATAGTTGGGGGAAAAAATCTAGAAATAGTGAGTGGTGTAGCTTTGCCAAAGGAACTATGTGTTCATGAGATTACCTAGAATCTTTTTTACTGGTTTTATTCCAAAAGTACTTTTTCAAGAGGCAACTGGACTTTCTGTTTTTTCTTTGAAGATGCTCCACTTCTCATCTAAGAAGCTTCTTCAACTCTCAGAGCTGGTATTTCTTTGAAGATGCTTCACTTCCTCTTCAAAGAAAAACCAGAAAGTTCAGTTGCCTCTTGAAAAAACACATTTGGGACAACCATGACCTGGAGAACTAAGAATATTCACAGATATTTACTAGTTTTATTGTTTTTACTGTCATCGGTGAGCTGCCCAAAGTTATGTTGCACTGTATAAGATGGGTAGCTACACACTTGATTTAATGGAATAAAATATGCTATCTTTATTAAGAATGGACAAAGCGAAAATCCGGCATGCAAAAAAAATACAGGATTGTATCTCTAGCAGATCAGGTGAAACTGCTGTTTCAGGCCCCTTTTCCCTCCCTTTTTGGATGGCCTTGTTTTTCCTCTCTGGATCTCTTTTCCTTGTCAGGAGCATCCATAAGGTATGGTCAGAAAAATCAAGATGGTGCCCTCAATGGTGCCATTGAAGCTTTGGTTGCAGTTTGGTCAGCACCATTGGGACTTGGAACTTTGCCGGTTGGATAGTCTGTAGTTTGCAGGATCCAATCTGGGTTGGTCCGTGAGATCAGAGGTTTAGTCTTATGAGCTTTCGGATTCATGCTGGAGCCCATCCTCAGGGAACCCCTCTCGAGCAGAATGTGTTCTTGGGCTACTCCACGTGTGGCATTTATAAGGTGCCATGTTGTGTGTGGTTTTTAAAATTGGGGTGTTAATGGCTGCCTATTGTTTCTTTGTGCTGCTAAGCCCTCGCCTCCTTAAGTACTTGACAAGCTAGTGGTAAATGAGTACTCCTGTTGACCGACAGAGGTCCCTGTTTCCCAGGCTTCAATCCTTCCCCTGGCTATTTTTGTACCTGCTTGGCCAACAATCTTAGTAGCTGCAAAATTCAATACATGTTTGTTCATTGCAATGAACAAACTCCGTAGTTTGTTCTTCTCTTTCTGGCTGCAGTAGAGAAACAGGTGTATCTTACAAGGGATCTGAATGCTGATTATAGGTTGGCCAACCCTGAGCTGTAATAGCCTGAGCTGCTTCTCCATTCCCCTCCACACACACACACACACCCCACTGCAATTCTACTTTCTTTTCTTGCTTCCCCAAATGCCCAGATTTTTTCCAAACTCACGCATTTTCCTGGGTGGCCTCCTCTGCTTTGGAAACTTTTCGGTAGCAGTAAACCATCTCGATCAAGAGCCACAATGTGAGGAAGACCAAGAGAATATACATCATTATTGCAGAGATGAGAGCCGTTAAGTCTCTTCCAGCTGTAGAGGAGAGATTTTTTTTTTGTTTTTAAAGGGAGATAATTCCAGGATTGATCCCTATGAGCAAAACCCCTTTCATGTAATCAAATGTGTGGAGCTTAACTTTGCAGGCAGATCTGGAATGACCCTGAGTTTCTGCAGTTGGCTGAATCTTCCGTGCAATGATGATGAAGGCAAAATATTTCTTACAAACGAATAGAAAATAGAATAGAATAGAATAGAATAGAATAGAATAGAGCTGGAAGGGACCTTGGAGGTCTTCTAGTCTAGCCTTTTGTTCAAGCAGGAGAACCTATACCATCTCAGATAAGCAGCTGTCCAGTCTCTTCTTAAAAACCTCCAGTGATGTAGCATCCATGATTTCTGAAGGCAACTTCTGCTCCACTGGTTAATTGTCCTCACAGTTAGGGGGCGTCTCCTTAATTCCAGGTTGCTTCTCTCTTTGGTTAGTTTCCCACCATTGCTTCTTGTCCTGCCCTCTGGTGCTTTGTAGAATAATCGTAGAATAATAATAAAAGGCACATTATGATCACCCCCTTCCTCTCAATTTTTTTTAGTAACAGATCTTTGGAGAAGGAAGGATGTGGACGAATGAAAAATGATCCCAGATCCCACTAGAACTTGGGAAGGAAGCCAGAACCCCCTGTTTCATAAAAGGCTGAACATTTCTACCAGTTGTGGGATTCAAACATTTTTACTACCAGTTCTGTGGGCGTGGCTTGGTGGGCGTGGCAGGGGAAAGATACTGCAAAATCTCCATTCCCTCCCCACCCCACTAACCTGCTTTCCAGCTCCGTTCTCCTGTGCAGGGCAACCAAAGAAGACCCAGCCGATCAGCTGGGACTCAATGGGAGGCAGAGAAGAGATGGGGTTGGCGGGGCCAGTCAGAGGTGGCATTTGCCGGTTCTCCAAACTACTCAAAATTTCCGCTATCGATTCTCTAGAACAGGTCAGAACTGGCTGAATACCACCAATATCTGGTTTCTACTTGCTCAGTAGCTCCCCATGTACAGCAGGCACCTTCTGGAGACATTGGCATAGCTCATGCGAGCGCATGTAGAACCACTCCAGCAACATACATCAGTGGATAATGAGGGCCACCATGCCCATCCTGATCCGACGGTCCTTTGTTCCTGTCCCTTTACTTTCTCTTCTGCAGAGGTTCTGCTGAAGAGCAGGAAACAGAACCACAGGGAACTTCAGAGGGAAAGGAAACAGAGGGAACAGAACATAGAGAAGATGTTGCGGGGGAGAGAGCAAAAATGGGCAAAAAGGAAGCAGAAAGACCAACACACATAACAAGTAGAGTGGGAGAAAGAACACACGACAGAAAGGAGCCTCAGCCATCATTCTGCTCAGCATCATTCATGATTTGTGGGTAATTACTCTGGAGGATGCCAATTTGTCAAGTACACCCCACTCAAAGGTGACACTAAGCTAAAGGCAAAACTTGGGGGGGGGGTCACTGTGGGGGTGAGAAAAAAGAGTGGTAGACAAGAGTTTGTATCATTACTGCAATCTTGACCTAAGGGTTGACCTATTTTCCAAAGAACCAGAAGGCAAGACAAGAAGCAATGGATGGAAATGAATCAAAGAAAGAAGCAACCTGGAATTAAGGAGAATGAGAACTAAGAATGAGAACAGTTAATCAGTGGAACAGTTGTGGGTGCTTGATCACTGGAAGCTTTTAAAAATAGACTGGACAACCATTTGTCCAGAATGGTATAGAGTCTCCTGTGGATCAGCGGCTTGGACTAGAACACCTCCAAGTCCCTTCCAACTCTATTAGTCTGTCTTCTGTTTCTAGCAGTGTTCCCAATGTCAGCAACTCGAAGAGGTACGGACTTCAACTCCCAGCATGCTGCTGGCTGAGGAATTCTGGGAGTTGAAGGTCACACCTGTTCAAATTGCTGAGATTGAGAAATGCTTGTTTATAGGCTTAACTCTTCCAGAGAGAGCAATCTGGGAGGTACGTGAAGGGCGGGAGGTAACTGAGAATTTCTGAATGAGGCGTGCTCACCAAAGAGGAAGGAGGAGACTAGGATCCTTCTGACTTCAGAGGATTCACTAAGCACATTCCAAAGAGGCTTAAAAACAGAGGGGGGGGATTGAAAATGGGCCAGCTCTAGTGTTAAAGTTGAAAGGGAGCGTTTGAAAAAAATGACACAAATTCATCCTTATGCCCCCGAGTACGTTTCTTGTATTCCAGACTGAAAATAAAGGATGCATCCTTCTTTTAAACCACGAGTTTTGTTTTAAACCATGAGTAGTGTTGTTAACTTCTCCCTCCCCAAAACCCTGGATTAGCCTAACAGCTTTGCGCTAGTAAAAACATTAACTACAATAATTGGGCTATGTTACTTTTGGAGCTCTTCCTTAATTTGGCGGGGGGTTGGTCTTCTGAATTCTTTCTGGGTGAAAAAAATTGTTGGATCCTAGAAAATCCTTTCCTACCTCCTTTATATGGACAGCAGAAGGGGTGGCATATAAATGTAATAAATAAATAAATAAATAAATGCATACTGTACCCTCCCATTACCCCCCTTTTTTCCCTTTCTTTGTAATTCTGTATTTCAGTGGTGGGATTCAAATTTTTTTACTACTGGTTCTGTGGGCGTGGCTTGGCGGGTGTGGTGTGGCTTTGTGGGCATGGCTTCATGGGCACGACAGGGGAAGGATACTGCAAAATCCCCATTCCCTCCCCACCCCACTAACCTGCTTTCCAGCTCCATTCTCCTGTGCAGGGCAACAAAAGAAGACCAAGCCAATCAGCTGGGACTCGGGAGGCAGAGAAGAGATGGGGGAGGGGCCAGCCAGAGGCGGTACTGGCTGGTTCCCTGAACTACTCAAAATTTACACTACCGGTTCGTGAGAACCGGTCAGAACCGGCTGAATACCACCTCTGCCGTATTTGCAAGATAAGCCTTGGCCGCTGTTCATAATTTAACTTCCCAGTTGAGATCTGAGAAAACTGCTGGAAATGGTTTAATCTCAACAGAGTTGAGACGGTTAACTTAAAGGCTTTGAGAAGGGACTGACTCCTTGTATTATCTTACCATCCTTCATCACAGTGAGATGAATCAGTGTTGAGCTGGTGAAGATGGGCCGGTGGGTCTCAAAGAGGAATTCCCGGGTGACGTTACAGGTGTAAATCCCTGAATCGTTCATAGAGATGTTTAGGACCGAGATGGAGACGTCCTGCATATCTGCACTTCCATTCCACTCAAGCCGGCCCTGGAAAGGACTCTCAAGTTCCCGTTTCTCGTTGTTGAATTCATAGATCTGTAAAGGTCAAAAAAAAAAAAAAAAAAAAGGAGACATCAACTTTAGCAATAGCGTTTAGACTTATATACCACTCCACAGTGCTTTGCAACCCTCTTTAAACAGTTTACAGAGTCAGCCTATTGCCCTCAAACAATCTGGGTCCTCATTTGACCAACCTTGGAAGGATGGAAGGCTGAGTCAACCCTGAGCTGCTCAGGTCGAACTATTGGCAATTGGCAGAATTAGCCTGCAATACTGCATTCTAACCACTGGAAGGGAAGGGAGGGAGGGAGGGAGAAAGGAAGGAAGGAAGGAAAATAGCAATAGCATTTTAGACTTTTATATGTGTGTGTTTGTATTTATTTTCATGGTCATGATGTGCACTGAAGATGATGTTTGATTTCGTTGTACGAGGTGCAATGACAATAAAGTAAACTAAACTACTCTAAGTGCCTAGCCAAAAGATTACCAATTGTGCTTATTGGCCAATAATTTTCTGGGTCATCCTTCGCTGTTTCTAAAAAAAGGGGAGGATAAATACAACCCACAATCCCTAGGGATTTACTTAAAATATGTGAAGGCTGAGCCCCAGATTAGCCCCATCATGAAATGCTTTTTTTAAAATCAGCTCTACTGAGATTAAACCATTTCCAGCAACTTTCTCAGATCTGAACTGGGAAATTTAATTATTAAGGGCAGCTGCCTTCACCAGTGGTCAATCTCATATGGTCTCTGGACCCAGGAAATTCTAAAGCTTCCAGAAAACAGAGCTCACCATCTCTGTATATTCACTAAAAAATATTTTTTCCCCAGGCTTTGGATGTGATGTAGTTGTCCCATAGCATTTTAGTGTTGGAAGATCTGAATTTTTTTCCCCAAGTATTTTCACATGATTGCAGAGTTCATGTTGTTGTTGTTTTGGTTCAATCAAGTATTAATTCTGACAGGATTAATTAAAGGAATAAAAGGACTGGGAGATCTGCAACCATTTGCCAAAACAGAGTAGAGAAATACAGGCTCGCTTCCCAAAGCAGCTATTTATCTTTGATGACATCTCATATTTTCTCTCTCTTATTCTGAAGCAGTTGCTTAAATAATTATTATTGTTTGTTGCACATTCACCCAGATATTCAGACTGGATTTGGCCTTCTTATCTACCCATTAGGTCCTTCCCAAGGGCTTCCTGGGACAGACCGATGTTGATTTTTGGTGGTGTTGAAGGCATTGTCACTGGATGTAAGCTGTTCCGAGTAAAGCTGCCTTTTGCAATTGACAGACAATGAAATTGTCAGTGACAATAGTGTTCAAGGGCTGCTCCAGTTGTTTGGGGATTATTGGTATTACCTTTGCTTTCTTTTGCCACAGCCATTCTATTTTATTTTGAGGTCCTCAGATTATTATTATTGCTTATGGATGTCCTGAGTAGCTCTTGCTCATATGTTCATTCTATAGGCATTTTTACCATCAAGTTTAGTTTCTGTTTGCTATAGCAGATTTGGAAAACAATCCATGATTTGGAGCAATATGGAGGCCACATAGCTGGGCAGAGAGAGTTTAAATGCTTCTGTAATTCCTCAATTCTCTTTTCATATTTTTTTGTGACAGAGCCAGATAGGAAGAAGGAAAGATGGAGAATATTCTGTGCCAATCAGACTGTAATTTGCATCTCCCAAATTGAGGGGGGTGATCAAAGTTATCTGGAATGCCATAGGTTTCTCCCTAAATCTAGAAATAAACCCAGCTCTATTTTTATCCCCTCATTCCCTCCCCACCAAAAAAGCCAAATTAGATTTACATCCTGCCTTTCTTTCCTCTAAGGCAGAATGCAGATCCCTCCTTTCTCCATTTTTTTTTTTAAATTTCCACAGCAACAATTCTGTGAGGTTCATTTAAGTTGGCAAGCAGATAGGCTAACCCAAACTCACCCCATGGGCTTGCAAGGGTGAGGATGGATTCAAATCTAAATCTCCACAGATTTAATTCATTGCTGCAATCGCTATCACACATGTACCCTTTATAAAATCAGAATTTTACCCCCCCCCCCCTCTCTTTGCTAGAACACCTCTGGCAAATAGGAATAGTGTTTTCCTGAAAACATATAGGAACAAAATCCTGCTGTTATGGATGAGGTTCCATAAACAAAGTCTCCCTTTCAAAGAGCTTCTCTTTCCGAGTGTGATTACTTTCAGAAAGTAGAACGTCCCACTGTCTTCTTCTCCAGAACTCCTGATCCTAATTTCCAATTAGCCTGGTCATTTCCTATCACTGGAGGATCTCCCATGGACAAAATACTCACCAGTGGTGGGATTCAAATGTTTTTACTACCAGTTCTGTGGGCGTGGCTTGGTGGCCAAGGTGTGGCTTGGTGGGCGTGGCAGGGGAAGGATACCGTAAAATCTCCATTCCCTCCCCACCCCACGAACCTGCTTTCCAGCTCTGTTCTCCTGCACAGGGCAACCGAAGAAGACCCAGCCGATCAGCTGGGACTCAATGGGAGGCGGAGAATAAATGGGGATGGGGCCAGTCAGAGGTGGTATTTGCCAGTTCTCTGAATGACTCAAAATTTCCGCTACTAGTTCTCCAGAACTGGTCAGAACCTGCTGAACACCACCTCTGATACTCACCCTCTTAAAGTCTTTTAAATCAGATCTCCTCTCCCACTCATCCTCCTACAACCTGGAAGTTTCTCCTAAGCTTTAGCTGAAATTGTAACCTGTCAGGATTCTAGCAATTGCTCTAATTAAATCATGATTCTTGAGCCAAACTTCTCCAATTGAGCACCTTCATGGGCTGAGTGTCATCATTCATGTTCTCCAATTAAATATATTTGCGGGCAAAAGCCCTGGTACTTCAGTTACAATCTTTTAAAGATAAGAGTTGGAATGTACTCTCACCTCCAAACTCCTGCACTGCTCTTCCAGATTTCCTTCCTTCCCCCCTCCTTTTTTTAATGGCAACTACTAAAACAGGCATAGGGATGTTTTATGAGTTGACAAAACCTTTCTGAGTCCCTGTTTCCATTTTTTCCCCATCTCCCATGGTCCACACGTTCATGGTACAGAGGTAATCACTCACAGCTACATCTTGTCCTCCTTCGGGCTTGTAGAACCACTTCACTATGGTGTTGGCCAAAACCTCTTCTCGCTTCATACAGGAAATGCACATCAGCTTCATGCGCGATCCCTGCACGGCCTCTGTCTCCGAAGGGACCTCGACACAAACGGAAGAACAGATGCCCACTGGATAACGACGGGAAATGATGCAACCCAGTTTGAAGGCGAAGAAGATGTGCGGCCCGGAGAGACCCAACCATTGCCAAGTCAGAAAAGAAAGAAAGAAAAATAAAAAAAGGAAGATAAATGCACCAGACACAAGAAATTACACGCTGCTCAGTTTGTTTTTCCTGAGGAATGAGAATAAAGCTTTTAATTTACGGTTGGCGTCCTTGAAGAAGGATTTTTTTAAAAAGTGAGATTGGAAAAGCTTCCTTTTTCTAGATCAGTGGTTCTCAACCTTCCTAATGCTGCGACCCTTTAATACAGTTCGTCATGTTGTGATGATTCCCCAACCATAAAATTATGGCTCAGTTCCTAAGACCATCGAAAATATGTGTTTTCCGATGGTCTTAGGCGACCCCTGTGAAAAGATCGTTCGGCCCCCAAAGGGGTCACGACCCACAGGTTGAGAACCACTGTTCTAGATGATCCTTAGACACCACCCCCCCAAATCTATATTAAGCACCAATTTTGGACAGAATTGGGTGGATCTCTTCAGAACCGATGGAGTCATTCAGGGTGGTTGAATCATGGGAGTTCAGAGTAGATCGATTTGATTCTGCTCACAGTGCCTAAACTATGGAACATATATCGTAAGAGAAGGATGGGCCCTACAGAAATTGCTGAGCTACCCTTTTCCTCTGGTATGGGAGGACTGGGATTAATTGAGCCAGCTCGCAACAATCCAAGAGCTCCTAATGTGTTAAAAAAGTTATAAATCATTCTAGCAACTGATTCCCCCCCCCCATCTATAAAGAAACCCTATTTATAGATTCAGTTTCCAAACTCATGTTTCCTTTAACCGTTCACCATAGCGGAGGCCCTGTTGTCCTCTGTCCTTCTTTTTGAAAATGCTCAAATTTGTTCTAAGCATGCTTGTTCAATTACAGCAGGAGACTTAATTTGAACCCTATTTTTCAGATCATCAAAGTTTGATGGTACCAATGGAAGATAATATTTGTAGCTCAGGGTCGAACTGTGGGGTCCTTGGTGCTTTCTGAGCTTGGTTTTTTTGCAGACATTTCATTACCCAACTAGGTAACGTCATCAGTGCTTCGCCCTCCTAGCACTGATGATGTTACCTAATTGAATAATGAAATATCTGCAAGAAAGCAGCCACACCCAGAGAGCACCAAGGACCCCACAGTTTGACCCTGAGCTATAAATATTCTCTTCTATTGGTACCGTCAAACTTAGATGAACTTTGAAGAGTTATAGGATTCTATAAGACTTCTATGAATTTGTGACTAACTGAGTACATTTTATGGCTTAGAAAATGGCTGTCATGGAAGCGATCTACAGTACTGAACAAAACAACACAGTACTACTTTTCAGGGATACGTAAGTGGGTTTTATTTTCCTATGTTCTTCATATGAACTATTGGAACAAAATACTCAACTATAGAAGAAATTGGTTTGATCCAGCATGCTATTTCTTGGGCTAGAAATGCTGCTGTTTTTAACTATTTGGATTTTCTTTTTAGTTTAGTTTAGTTTAATTTACTTTATTGTCATTGCACCTCGTACAATGAAATCAAACACCATCTTCAATGCACATCATGACCATGACCATGAAAATACAAACACACATCCTTCACCCTCCACACATTGAACCAAAAAACCCCGACACTGCACCAATACTGCACTATATAATAGAATTCAAAAGAATTACTGCCCTGGGGTAGAAGCTGTTTTTCAGCCTATTTGTGCTTGTTTTTATTATCCTGTACCGTCTGCCAGATGGTAATAGTTAAAAAAAAAAAAGGGTGCCCAGGATGTGATGGATCTTTGAGAATGTTTTGAACTTTCTTAAGGCAGCGAGAGCTATAAAGCTCTTCCAAAGAGGGGAGAGGGCAACCCATGATCATTTTTTTTGCAGATGAACAGTCGGTACATATGACGGCCTTTGCAGCCAGCCTCCAAGAGTGGAAGATCCTTTGTGTGGTAGAAACTGGGTAACTGGGTAACAATTCCAGAAACATGGAATTGAGAAAAAAATGCAGATTTTCCCGAGCTGGAACATGTCAGATTGTTCTAGAGTTTTATTTATAGTAAAGGGGATTTCTGCGCAGGATTGTCTAAAATCTCCCTAAAGTCTCTTCTGCCTGATCTAGAGCAATGATATGGACATAATATATCTTGACTTCAACAAATGATTTGATTTGATGTCTCATTAAGATTTTGATTAGCAAAGTAGATAAATATGAACTGGATGGCTGCCTATATTAGGTATATCCATGGTTGAATTGAAAACTACTCAAGAGACAGTGGGATCCTATGAGCTTGGTTTTTTTTTTTTTTTGTAGACATTTCATGACCCAACTAGGTAACATCATCAGTGCAACTCAACCAAGCCCAAGAGACAGCTCATCAATGATTCCTCCATCAGACCTGGAAAAAGGCACTTCAACTTCCACCATGAGTCTCATACCCCTCTATATTTCATTCAAAACTTTACTAAAGAAAGAAATACTTATCACATCCGCGGATAGTACAAACCTTGTTGGAACACCTAATAATCTAGAAGATGAAAACAACATTCAAAATAACTTTGTCAGTTTAGAGAAGTGGCTGAATTATCACCTTCCCCCAATGTGTCTCTTCACATGTGTTCGAATTCCAGCAACCTAGTTAGCATGTTGGCTATTGATTATGTAAGATGAAACCCAAGACAAATCAGATCAGAAAAAAGTCACGCTGTCTTCTAGGGCTGGTTGTATGAACAGTTATGTGTTATATGAACAGCTAAACTCTATTAAATCACAGGTTCAAGAGCATCCAGATCTTGGCAGAACAGTGTCTTTCAACAGATTTGAGGACAAACATTTACAGAGGCCTGTAGGTTTAGTCTCCCATTGGGCCTTTTCTATGTCCAAAACGATTCACACCACTCTGTATTTTAATAATAGTGTCAGCCTTGGAAGCCATATTTTACTTGGACACTTTGAGACTGCCACATTTAGTGCCTGGAAATTTGGGAGGGGGGATTTCATAGAGAGGTGGAAGCAGGAGCCTCTGTGGTACATGGTTAGAGCGCAATACTGCAAGCTACTTCTGCAGCCAGCTGCCTACAATTTGGCAGTTCAAATCCCACCAGGCTCAAGGTTGACTGGTTAGAATGCAGTATTGCAGGCTAATTCTGCCAATTGCCAATAGTTCAACCTGAGCAGCTCAAGGTTGACTCAGCCTTCCATCCTTCCAAGGTGGGTAAAATGAGGACCCAAATTGTTGGGGCAGTATGCTGACTCTGTAAACTGCTTTGAGAGGGCTGTAAAGCACTATAAAGCGGTATATAAGTCTAAGTGCTATTGCTATTAGACTCAACAACATTCTTTCTCAGAGAGTCATGTTGCCTGCACCTGGAGAGAAATGCCTGGAGGAAGGTCTCCAGTTGGGACGACATTTGATTGAACCATGTGATGGACTGATGGGTACAGGAGATTGGGAAGGAAAAACTCAGAATTCTCAGATTTGGGTTTTCCCCAGATGTGCCAGTATGAAAACTCTAATAAAAATGGAACATTGAGAAAATGCTGATCTTGGAGTTTGGTTAGTTGGAACACTGACAAATAGTGACCCATATCTCCATTTGCAATACCTTTTCCTTCTGCCCAATCGCTGCACCTTTCAGCTCTTGTAGGAATTGGGCTTGCGACATTTGAGCAGACAATATGACATGCGAACGCAGAAGGGAGTGGAATCGAGGTTGCTTTCTATGCTTTGGTTTGTTACTGCAGCCCCTGCAGCCATAGAGGGCAGGATTGTAATTTGTGTGGCTTAGCATTTTGAGGCCAACAGGTTCAAATATGGCCATGGTTGTTTTTTTTTTTTTTTTTGTTGGAACCCTCCAGGCAGTGAGTGACATCTCCTTCGAGCTGCTGCTGCTGCTTGAAAAGGAAGAGAAAGACATGGGCTGAAGAGAGGAGGGGGAGAAGAGGAAAGGAACAAAGGGAAGGGACTGTTAATTTATCTCTTCCTCTATCCTCAAGAAACCTGAGTGAACCTGTCAGACCAGAAACAGGAAGAAAGACAATGGCTTTTTCCAATCCTGTTGCCTCAAAAGATGGGGCCAGAAGAGGAAGCCAAGAGCATGGGAAGAGGGAAGAAGATCGGGGCATAAAAAATGAGCAGGTACCAGGGAGATTATTTATTTATTTATTTGATTTTTTTAAATCTTGCCTTAATACTCAATAAGTAATTCAAGGTGGTGAAGATACATAATCTCCTTTCTCAGCCTTTCTTTTCCCACAACAACAACTCTGTGAGTCAGGATGAGGCAGAATGACCGGCCCAGTCACCCATTGGCTTTCATGCCTAAAGCAGGATTAGAACTTGCCATCTCCTGGTGTTTGGCCCAAAGTCACCCATCCAGCTTTCATGGCTAAGGCAAGACTAAAACTCGCCATCTCCTGGTGTTTGGCCCAAAGTCACCCAGCCAGCTTTCATGGCTAAGGCAGGACTAGAACTCATGATCTCCTGGTGTTTGGCCCAGAGTCACCCAGCCAGATTTCATGGCTAAGGCAGGACTAGAACTCAAGATCTCCTGGTGTTTGACCCAAAATCATCCATCCAGCTTTCATGGCTAAAGCAGGACTAGAACTTGCCATCTCCTGGAGTTTGACCCGAAGTCACCCAGCCAGCTTTCATGGCTAAGGTAGAACTAGAACTCACAGTCTCCTGGTTTGTAGCCCCATGCATTCACCACTAGACCAAGCTGGCTTGCTAAGAATTGACATCAACTTGATGGCACATACTCAACATTGGGGTGGAAGGTAGAGTCGTTAGCCTGGGGTCCCATTCCTAGAAGTGAACCTTTCTGTCACTTGAAATGGACTCAGACCCAAGCTCAGACCCAAAGGTGGGTTTGGGGGTTGGATTTCTTTACAGACTGGCATCCCCTGTGAAGTTTAGCACTGCCAGATCTAACATTGGCCACTTTGAGTTGGCAAGCCAACAAGAAACCAAAATAGTTTTTGGGTAAAGCTCTTTGAGAAGAAGTCCTCCAGGATTTGCTTGTTTTTTTTTTTTTTAAAGCACATTTTGCACAGGGGAGATTTTAATACAAAAAGCTAGTTCCCGGAGGAAGAAACCATCCAAAATGTCTAAACCAGAACTGGAAGGAGAGGGATTACAACTCGAACGAGCTGCTTTAGAAAAAGCGTGAAACTCCCCGTAGCTGATCCCCCTCCAGATTTCCTGCCTTGCTTCTCCTCCCGTTACAGCCTTCACCTGCCAAAGCAAACCGCCAGGCGCGGGAGTTGCCTGCCCGATTTCCAGCTGAGAAAAACCGCCACAAAACAACAACAGGCTGCTTTTAATTACAAGCCGCGCTTCTCACCATGGCAGCCTCTCTGTTCCCCAAGGAGCGGCGGAAAGCCACCAGATCGTGCCTCCCAACCGCCGCTCTTCCCCCGCAGGCTCCTGCCTTGCCTTGCCTTTCCTTGCCAAATCCAGCCACCCCTCCCCACCGCGCCCCGTCTTTCCACTTAGGGCTTCCATTGTTCAGGCAGGAGAGACCCCCCCCCCGGCACCTACCCCAAAGCGCCGTCAGCAGGGTCGAGGCGAAGGCAACCTTTGTCAGCGCAGCCATGATTCCCACGGAACTGGGAGACGGGGTCTTCTGGGGGCGGGGGGGGGGATCTCAACTGAAGAGCCGAGCGGTCCGGGCAGGGCAGGGCTGGGTTCGAACCCAGGGAAGAGCGGATTAGACAGAGCCTTTAGAGAGCCGTAGGGGCGCTCGCAGCCACGGCCGCCGGCGACGGGGCGCGATTCAGCACCACGGAGAGCGCCGCCTTTGAGACTCCCTGCGCGGTCGCCTCCGGGTCGAATTGGACACCGGCCGCTCCTTCGGGGTTCCGGCGCCGCGCCTGATGGGCACGAAGCCCCGATCCCCTTCCCCGGGGGAGTCGGCTCGGCTTTTCTGGCGGCGGGGAAGGGGGCTCCGCGCCCGCCGCTGCTCCGGCGCGCCGCCCAGTCCGACCTCCGACGCCTGGCGCTGCGCGAAGACGAGCGCGGAGAGGTTGAAGCTGGAGCAGCCTACTTGGCGGGTGGGGTGAGGTAGGGGGTTAGATGAAGCCTCCCTTCCCCCCCCCACCTCCCCGTGGAAGCATGCGCAGATTTGTCCTTGGCAAAAAATGCGGGCACGCCCCCTCCGCTGAACCCGCGGCTCCCTTGCCTTGCAAGCCAAAAGGGCAGAAGCGCGCGCAAACTCGGGTGCGCCTGGTTGCCAGTCGCCCGCGCGCCTCTTTCTTCAGCTGGGCGGAGAAGCGGAGCTTTCTAGGAAACCTGGCATCCGCAAGTGTGAATGGAAACCGTTACTCTACCACCAGCAGGTCGGTCTGGGAAGTAATGCAGTTGGCAGGGAGAAGAGATTGGGGAGGAGCCAAAGTCAAGCCAAACTGAGCCAAGCCGAGCCAAGCCAAGCCAAGCCAAGCCAAGCCAAACCATCCCTTTTGCAGCCCCACATTGTACCTTTCGCTAACTCTGTGTTGTGGTTTTAGCCCTTTCAGGGTTGCATTTACTCCCCACTTTGCATGCTCTTGGGGTTCATGACCTCGAGGTTGTGTGTGAGGCTCCTTAGGAGGTTTTGTTGGGAAAGTCGAATTTTGATCACGTGGCTGTGAGGATGATGCAATGGTGCAGAGAAGAGCAACCAAGATGATGAGGGGGTTGGAGGCTAAGACATACAATGAAACGATTGCAGGAACTGGGCCTGGCTAGTCTAGTGAAGAGAAGGACCAGGGGAGACAGGAGAGCAGTCTTCCAATATTTGAGGGGCTGCCACAGAGAGGAGAAAGGGGTCAAGCTATTCTCCAAGGCACCCCAAGGCCAGACAAGGAATAATGGATGGAAACTGATCAAGGAGAGATTCAACCTGGAAATAAGGAGAAACTTTCTGACAGTGAGAGCAATCAACCCATGGAACAGAAGTTGCCTTCAGAGGTTGTGGGAGCTTCATCACTGGAAGCTTTCAAGAAGAGACTGGACTGCCATCTGTCAGAAATGGGTCTCCTACTTGGGCGGTGGGTTGGACTAGATGACCTACAAAGTCCCTTCCAACTCTGTTATTCTGGTCTGTTATTCTGGTCATAAGAGTGAGGTTCAGCTATAGTCATTTTTTTCAGTGTGGTTATAACTTCAAGTGGTTTCTAAATGAATGATGATACATTTAAGACCAGCTGCACTCAACAAGAGGCCAGAAACGCAATCTGGAGTCAATGTGCTTGACGTTCTTTCTTTTAATTTGATTCCCTTCCACTCTCCCTTGCGTACACCTCCAATTCCAACTGATGTGTTTTATAGATCTGCTGAGAAGCTGGATAGGAGATGACATAAATTGACTCCCAGCCATTTGCCACCAAACACAGACAGCCAAGGAGAGACAGACTATTTCTGCAACCTGAGCGCAGGATGAAGAGAGGCTCTGCGATTGAGATGGGCAGTCTCCAAATATGACACCTAAAGGAAATAAACAAAGATGGAAATCTGGATATCTTCCTCCTAAGTCATAACGTCATAATGTTGGTTTTCCTGGAAGCATGGAGCCAGAGAGTGAGTTTCCAGCTTCGGCACCACAATTTCCATGGCTTGGGGTGCCATCCCTGCTTTACTGTGCATTTATGCTCAGTTCAACACAAGTACAAGGGCATAGAAATGTAGACAGCTGTCTCACACCAGCCAGTTGATCTCTCATTGAAACATTGAGGTCTTTTTTCCAAATATTTGGACTGAAACCAGTCTTTATCAGAGGATGTTAATGCCAAGCATTCAACAGAAACAGAAAACTCTGGTTGTCTTTGCCAAGGATGAAATCTGGACTTGCTGCCTTAAAGGCAGAGGTGGTATTCAGCCGGTTCTGACCAGTTCTCGAGAACCGGCAGCGAAAATTTTGAGTAGTTTGGAGAACCGGCAAATCCCACCTCTGACTGGCCCCTCCCCCATCTATTCTCTACCTCCCATTGAGTCCCAGCTGATTGGCTGGGTCTTCTTTGGTTGCCCTGCTACAGGAGAATGGAGCTGGAAAGCAGGTTAGTGGGGTGGGGAGCAGAGGTGGTATTCAGCAGGTTCTGACCAGTTCTGGAGAACTGGTAGCGGACATTTTGAGTAGTTTGGAGAACCAGCAAATACCACCTCTGACTGGCTCCGCCCCCATCTATTCTCTGCCTCCCGAGTCCCAGCTGATTGGCTGGGTCTTCTTTAGTTGCCCTGCACAGGAGAATGGAGCTGGAAAGCAGGTCAGTGGGGTGGGGAGGGAAGGGGGATTTTGCAGTATCCTTCCCTTGCCATGCCCATCAAGCCACACTCACCAAGCCATGCCCACAGAACCGGTAGTAAAAATATTTGAACCCCACCACTGATTTAGGGTTTTATTTTGGCAAGCTGCCCGGAGACATTGTGAGTGAGTTGAGCAACCATGTGCATTTTCTAAATCAATCGATCGATCAATCGATCAATCACTCTTTCTCCTGCATGACAGACTTTGATACATCTTGGGAAATCAGCTGATTCGTCCCAGAAAGAAAACATACAGTACAATTAATCCTTGCTTCTCTTCTGCTTAGCAGCCTCAAAGAAGGAAAAGAGCTAGTATAGTTTCTATAAAAGGCATATTAAAAAAAAAAAACCTAGTGTTGATTCAAGGATAATCAGAGTTTCCATCGAGATGAAGCGAGGAAGGTGTGCCTTGAATTGTCCCTTAATGTTTGTTAGATTTTTAACTGGGATCATTACGTTACTTTGTTTTCATTTTTCTTTTAATCTACTGCTACCCAGCGTTGCAATTATCAAGTGGGCTGGCTATGTACATTCTATAAATAAAACAATAAATCAATAAATATCTTCTGGAAGCACCCGAGACTTTCCCTTCCCCATATTGGCAGAGATGCAAACGAAGCTGCTTCTCTCTCTCTCTCTCTCTCTCTCTCCTTGCCCAGAGTGGAGAAAGCCACAGCTCAAAAAGAAAAAAAGGTTGCTTCGAAATTGCAAATGCTAGAAAGAGAGAAGCCGTTCTCTGTGCAGGGTTGCTATAGGAACCAACCCAGCCAGGGCAAAGTAGGCAAATAATAATAAAAAAAAATAATAAAAAATAATAAAAATAAAAATAATAATAATAATAAAAATTAAAAATTAATTAATTAAAAATTAAAAATAATTAAAAATTAAAAATTAAAAATTAAATTGAAAAAGGGATCTGGCTCTTTTGTATCAAAACAAGGAGGTGAGATGATGAAAGTAAAATAAGGATGATCTGAAGATCTACCTGCAACAGAGGGAGGTGAAAGTGGCGATGGGAGTCCCCTATGAGAGGCCTCGGGGTCCCTCCGATCTTGTCAGAATGAATTGTCCTGATCGCATCAGCCAAAAGTGTATAAAAAAGCTTCAAATTTGCAAGAATAAGGCTATCTTTCTGTGTGTGACTTCCTCAGGGGGATCAGTTGCAAAAGGAAGGAAGGAAGGAAGGGAGGGAGGGAGGGAGGGAGGGAGGGAGGGAGGGAGGAAGGAAGGAAGGAAGGTGGGAATGAGAAGGAGGGAAGAAAGGAAGGAAGATGGGAATGAGAGGGAAGGAAAGAAGATGGGAATGAAAAGAAGGGAAGGAAGGAAGATGGGAATGAGAAGGAGGGGAAGGAAGGAAGATGGGAATGAGAAGGAGGGAAGAAAGGAAGGAAGATGGGAATGAGAAGGAAGGAAGGAAGATGGGATGAGAAGGAGGGAAGGAACAAGAAAGATGGGAATGAGGAGGGAAGGAAAGAAGATGGGAATGAAAAGGAGGGAAGGAAGGAAGATGGGAATGAGAAGGAAGGAAGGAAGATGGGAATGAGGAGGGAAAGAAGGAAAGAAGATGAGAATGAGAAGGAGGGAAGGAAGGAAGATGGGAATGAGAAGGAGGGAAGGAAGGAAGGAAGGAAGACGGGAATGAGAAGGAGGGAAGGAAGGAAGATAGGGATGAGAAGGAGGGAAAGAAGATGGGAACAAGAAGGAAGGAAGGAAGGAAGGAAGGAAGGAAGGAAGGAAGGAAGGAAAATTCTCAATTGTATGTTCCTCCTCCTCCTCCTCCTCCCCACTTCCTCTTCCCCTTCTCCTCTCCCTTATTTCCTTCCCCACTTTCTGCAAATAGCCAATTTCTAAACTGAAGCAAAATCCCTTCTTTTGCAGGGACAGGAAGGAAACAAAATAACGGGTGAAGCTTTTGAATTACTAAGGACTCCTTGTCTTAACAACACAACCTGAAAAGGCTTTAAGTGTAAATGGCAATTCATGACAGAGCCACATCCACATGGGGGCAGCACAGAGCAAACCAGAGAACAGTGTGGAAGTTTTCACACCCAGAGTTGAAAATAACAAAAACAATACTTGGAGGTTTTGCAAATACTCCATCAACATAAATAAAGAGAGCATCATGAAATATGCAACATTGGGATAAACGATTTCTGGTCTTGCAGCAAAAAAAAATGCTCAAAAATGTATGATGCCCACCCCTTCCCTGGCCCTCTCAGTCTCCCCACTCTGACCAGGATTTTATGACCACTGATGATTAAATCAAGCATTTCCTGGCAAAAAAAAGGATGGTTAATCTCATGGGAGCTTAAACGA